TATATATATATACTGCACAGAACCCTCAAGCTCCCAGGCCTCTGGTAGAGGACCCGAGCTCAGAGGATGAAAGAGACCACCCGCGGAGGGTGAGAAGGGAATTAACTTTTTTTAATATTTTGACTGGGGTGTTAAACAGAGAATCATTTTTGCTTTAATATGGGGCAAACAAATGTTCTGTTAGTTAATGTGGTTTACAGTAATTAGAAGAACTCAGTGAATCTCACAGACAGACTCAGCCTGCGCGTGCAGCATTGCGCTCCTGTCACAGCAGTCTCTCAGGAGGAGTTTAGTCACTCACACAAAGTTGGACAGATCTGTTCAATGACAACATTCTGAACATTTATTTAACATAAAGTTAGGTTTTACAGACCAAAGTCTCGGTAGTGCAGGAGCAAAGCACAGGAGGAGATGTATGGACTGATTGCTGCAGCAACTCCAGTTGAGCCGGCCCGCTGCTTCAACCAAACCTGCTCTCACTGAAAGTCCCGCCCTGTTCTGCTCTGATTGGACAAAACGGCTCTGGACTTCGTCTGATTTGTTGAAAGCAGTGTCAGTTTAATCCTTATGTCAGGGTCCCGCTGTGGCGCACAGAACAACGATCCATTCACACCAGTGCTGCTGGATTCTTTTCTATTTTTTTAAGAAATCAGTCGCATTTGCGACTAAACTGGTCGCACTCTAGAGCCCTGCTAGCTGTTGTTTTGACAGACAACCAGGTACAATCTTAGGTACGCAAGGGAGCTTTATGACGTTACATCTGGTGCGCTTTTTCCTTTTTTGACAGCGCATGCGCACCTGCGCACTGCTTATGTGCCACTCTGTAAATATGTACATTGATCTGCCATTTTTAACCTCATCCTCCAGACCATTCCACAATCCTGTTCCCTGGATTAAAGTAGATCGCTCCTTCAAACTGTTAAGCTGGAAACATACTCCGTGCGAACTGCCGACATCGACACGGGTTGTCGCAGTTTAATGACGAAAATTATGTCAAACGTCAGACGGGCTTCGCAAAGTCGTGTCGACAGCCCCTTTTGGCACAAGCCCCTGGCAGAACTTTTTGACCCCCCTCCCGTGTCGACGGTAATGTGTGATTGGTCTGAACTGAAAGCGCAGAGCAGACCATTTTGAGCAGTTTTAAAGATAGACAAACTGAGAAAAACTCATGTGAGTTTATGCTGACAGCACTATTGCGCTGCATTTACTTCAACCACTCGGTAAAAAAAAAAAAAACTCGACTCGCTCCCCGAGCCGACCAGGAAGCAGAGTTTTATAAAGATTGTCAAACCGTAAAAAACTCATGAATGGAGATAAACAGATAAACAGGCACGGAGGAATCTGAAACTGTAGAGCTTTTTAACCAGGACAGATGTGGATAAAAATCCTTCAGGTGAGTGACATTTTTTTCTGCATTGTTGTTGAGGGGAGAAATTCTGACTTTTTTTTCTGCATTATCGGCTGTTGCGGGGAAACTCCATGCAGTGACGTATGTTTCAGGGAGGGGGGTTTCCCGAATTTGGCGCGGGGGTGTCGTAGGGACTATGAAAGGTCTGTGCGAAAACGACTGCCGAATAACCACGTGACCGCACGTCGAMCCGTCAGCGTCGGAGCGAGTATGTTCCCACCTTTACAAAACCAAGGTTTCACAAACATCTCCATCCCCTTAAGATAATAACAGCTCTCCCTTTTAATAAAATTTACTTGGACGTTAGAAGGTAATATGTTTTTATGAGCCCTACGCATTAACAGCTAAATATTACAGTCAACCAAATCATAGAATTTCAATATTTTCAGTTGATAAAATAATATATTTGATGGTGACTGTAATGTTTTCTAGTGATAATTCTTACGGCTCTTTTCTGTAAAGCAAAAATAGGATTTGTAATTGTTTTGCAAGCCTTCCCCCAGACTTCAATGCAATAAATTATGTGTGGAATTACAACAATAACATCTACAATATAAACAGAGCTTTATCATTGAATAACTCTCTTACTTTGTACAATACTGCATAGAATTAGTTATTTTTGTTTTAAATAATTCAAATGAGGCCTCCATATCAGCTTTTCATTAATGATGACACCCAAAAACCTCACCTCACTGACTCTTCAAATCTCAACAACATCAACTCAAATGGAATATCAACAATTCTCTTAATATTACTGAATATCATGTAATTAGCTTTATTCAAATTTAATGATAATTTATTAAGTTGAAATCAATTTTATAATTTTGCAAATTCTGTTTGCATCATCTCCAACATCCATTCTATATTTTCACCCAAACAAAAAAAATGAAGGATCATCTGCAAATAAAACACATTTAAAAATTCCTGACACATTTACCAAGTCATTCACGTATAAAATAAATAACTTTTGTCCAAGTATAGAACCCTGAGGAACTCCACGTTATACTGAGTTCAGATCTTATGAAGTTTATTTGTACAAACTGTTTACTATCTTTCTAATAGCTAGATACCCACTGTGGTGCTGGACCATAATACTATCCAATTTTTCAAGAAGAATACTGTGATCAGAGATGTCGAATGCTTTCTTCAAATAACACTAACACAGTACTATTTATGATCAACAGCAGTTGTTATTTGTTCTATTAATTCCATGAGAGTCATTGATGTAGAATTATTTGCTCTAAACCCATATGGACTGCTACTTAAAACATTGTGTTTATCAATAAATTGATCTAATCTGATCACAAATAATTGCTCTAAATGTTTTGAAAACTGTGGTAACAAGGATATTGGTCTGCAATAAACAGCATCTAGTCTAATCAGAATCTTGATATGCCACACCTGTGAGGTGGAATGGATTTTAGTCCATGGGCTAGGGTGGCTCACTGTGCAAACCACCCCCCACTGAACTTCTCTGGTATTTTCATGTACCCTAGGGTCCACTCTTTCAGAAAATGCATGTTAACAGAAAAAAGTTGGGTCTCACTGTCCCCCAGGGACCACTTTGTGACCACACCCCTTTTCCATTGTGACCATCAAAATTAGGGGGACAGGAAGCTTAACTGCCAATAATTTCGCTATAAACCAACAACATTTTAAAAACAAGGTATCAGCAGATTCATATTGATTAGTTCTTCAACATAAAGGACTTTTCATTAAACAAAWATGCAAACAATGATGTCATCGGGGGCTCAAAATGTCACAACACCAACAGAAAATGAAAACTATCATCTTTTTAGTCTGAAGATTAGGGTGGGTCACTATGCACACCCCACTACTGAACTTCTCAGGTATTTTCATGTACCCTAGGGTCCACACTGTCAAAATAAGCATGTTAACAGAAAAAAAGTTGGCTCTCACTGGCCCCCACGGACCACTTTTGACCACACCCCTTTTCCATTGTGACCATCAAATTTAGGGGTACAGGGACCTTAACTGCCAATAACTTTGTTATAAGCCAACCACATTTTAAAAACAGGATATCAGCAGATACATATTGATTAGCTCTTAGATTTGCATGAAATTTCATTAAACAAGTATGCAAACAATGATGTCATTAGAGGGTCAAAATGACACAACCCCAACAGATGATGAAAATTTTAATCTTTTATCTGAGTTTACCATACAGATCCTAAATATTCAACTTACTTAGCTTTTTCATGCACCTTAGGATCCACTTATTTAGAAAAAGTCTTTATTGGCAGTTAAGGTCCCTGTACCCCTAACTTTGATGGTCACAATAGAAAAGGGGTGTGGCCAAAGTGGTCCCTGGGGGGCAGTGAGACCCAATTTTTTTCTGTTAACATGCATTTCTTGAAAGAGTGGACCTTGAGGTACATGGAAATATCAGAGAAGTTCAGTAGTGGGGTGTGCATGGTGACCCACCCTAACTTACAGTCTAAAAAGATGAAAATTTTCATCTTCTGTTGTGGGTTGTGATCTTTTAACCCCTGATGACATCATCGAGCACATACTTGTTTAATGAAATGTAATTTAAATAAAAGAGTTAATCAATATGAATCTGCTGATACCTTGTTTTTAAAATTTGATTGGTTTATAGCAAAGTTTTTGGCAGTGAAGTTTCCTGTATATACCTAACTTTGATGGTCAAAATGAAAAAGGGTTGTGGTCACAAAGGGGTCCCTGGGGGGCAGAGACCCAACTTTTTTTCTGTTAACAAGCATTTTCCCAAAGGGGTCCTAGCGTACATTAAAACACCTGAGAAGTTCAGTAGTGGGGGGGGGGGGGGGGCACCCTACCCCATGGACTATTATCTCTGCAAAGGAGAAGGGCTCCCTGACAAAAACTAACATACATTTCAGAATAATATTGGAAGGAAGGTCTGTTGTGTAGAAAAAGTCTTAGATCATTGAGCTCATGAGATATAGGAGCAAAAAAAAAGTGTTGGGTTTATATTTTTGTTCAGTAAATGTGAATGTATTGTAATACAATAGGAAATTAATTAACTGTAATTTGATTTGAATCTGAATCAGATTCATGACTTGGACTAACCTGAAATGTCTTATTGTGAACTGTGCTACAGCTGAAATCAGATGTTTACATACACGGTATAAAAAGTCAAACTTTTGCATGTTGTCTAACATTTAATCAAACTGAAGGCCCCTACATATTCCAACCGAAGCTGTGAAAATCACTCTCGCAGATGCGTGACAGAAAGCGCATAGTTTTGTTGGTAGAGCAACTTTGCCTACACCTTTTCAAAACAAGACCAAACTTTTTCTTACAGGTGGATGCTCCAAGGTTTGTGTGACGGGTCAGAAATTTGTGTGCGTGTTTATGCACTGCTTTTGGTTCTTCTAGTGATAAATTTAGACAGATGGAAAAGTCTGATAAAAAGGCGTCATATACCAGTCTTGTTCAATGATTTGTGAAGTTGACAAATCTTCAGAGATTGAAAGAGGTAAAAAAAAAGTGGATGTATTTTTATTGTCAAACTTCTAATAATGTTTTGAAAGTATTTCCAGAACAAGAACAATTCTGATGGGGAAAAAAAAAGAATAAAGGGCTTCTCTTGCCTGCCATCTTTTGTCCTGTGAATTCCCCACAGGTCCAATCCATCCTCAGTGAGAGTACCAGTCTGGGGGAGAAAAACAACATTTAAGTAGTAATGTGGAACAGCCAAGGCTGTGGATTTGTAACAGCTAAAAATATCTGAACGCTAAATAACCATTTTGGCAACTCTAATTTTTGTATCTGAGGTTAATGGCAACTTTTTACAACCACTTCAGAAAAAGTTGGTTAAAACTAAAAAAAAAACAGAATTAACAAATTTGGTTAATTTGCAAAAATCTGTAGGAGAACTGGTACAACAAAGTATTTTAGAGAGGCAAAGTCTGTCGGAAGTAAAGATGGGTTAGGTTCACCAGTCTATGAAAAATCTTAAATGTTCACCTCCAGGTCATAATCTCATCAATTTATTATAAACTGTAGAAATCTGAGCTCAAAGGCTAAAAGTAAATATTGGATGGTTGTGATCTTGGGGCCCTCAGGGGCTACTGCTTTAAAAACAGGTCTGGTTCTGTTCTGGAARTCACTGCATGGACTCAGGAACACTTCCACACATCACTGWGTCATCCATTAATGCTACTTAAAGCTCTATCACACAAAGAAGAAGCCAAAGGTGAAATGCTGCAGTCTTCTCTGAACTGTTCTAGAGTCAGATGGATCAAAAATCCAAACTCTTTTTAGAAGCCAACTATGTTATGTTTACCGACGTGGAGAGGGACCATCCAGACTGTTATCAGTGGACAATTCACACAGTTCAGTCTCTCTGATGGTATGAGGGCATGGTATTAGTGCCTCTGACATGGGCAGCTTACACATCTGGAAAGGAACCATCAATACAGAAAAGTTTCTACAGATTTTAAAACAACATCTACTGCTACTCAGATTACATCTTTTTCAGGGAAGGCCTGGCAAATTTCAGCAAGTCAATCTTAAACCACAGACTGCATCCATACAACAACATAACTTAATAGAAGAAGAGTCCAGGCAGTGGTGGGCAGATGCAATCCAAAAGTTAGTTGCACAAGTTCTAAAGTGCTTGTTAAGTTATTTAGTTATGCAAGTTTTAAAGCACTTGTGCTCCTGAGGACATAGCAGAAGCTAATTCTAAAGCACATAATTGACTCAGAGTTCACCAGAGTATATTCCAGTGATAACATGAGCAAGTCTTGTGTAATACTGCAGACTAGAGGCATTTCACTTTACTTTTACAGTGTTGCACATATCACTGCAGTTTGGGGAGGTGATTTGTTGAAACAGACTTTTGGCTCATGGTGATAAATAAACAGTTGTTGAGGAATACTAGTTCTGTTGCTTCTTGGTCATTTTCTTATAGTTATGGTAGGGCTTCAATCAGAAAGCAWGCAGGATATACTGTATTAGTAATTTAAATTGTTTATTGGAGAACTGAAGTGATGCATTCTGGGTACAGGACAGATTGGTGATGGGAAGTAAAAACACGGAGAACAGGAAACCATCTACATTTCAAAATAAGAGCATGAATTTAAACTTTTCCCTACTTCTATAATGGCTCCAGTTACCGCCACTTCTCCATGAGCACGGTTCTACTCTATTGGTTTGGGTCTATTCAGTTCTGTTCCAGGTGTGTGTGTGTCCCCCACTGTGTGTGCGTATTATGGGTGGACCATCCACAGCGCTGTTGTGTTTTAAAAAAAAAATTAAAGCTGTTGTGGTTTTACCGTTCGGTCTTCATATTTATCCATCTATTTTCTTCTGCTTATCCGGGATCGGGTCGGGTCACAACTCTCACTGGAAACGAGTCCGACTTACTACCGGCAATGCAAACCACACTCTATCACCAGTGGTACATGGACCTAACAGCCTGTATCAACAGGCCTGGTACCCCATACTCCCGGACTACCCCCMACAGGAGTCCCCGAGGTACATGGTCTTCTCCAAGTCCACAAAACACATGCAGACTCGTTGGGCGAACTCTCATGCACCCTCCAGGTCCCTGCTGAGGGTGTAGAGCTGGTCCACTGTTCCACGACCAGGACGAAAACCACACTGCTCGTCCTGAATTCAAGATTTAACTATCCAATGGACCCTCCAATACAGGACCCCTGAATAGACTTTACCAGGGAGGCTTAGAAGTGTGATCCCCCTATAGTTGCAACACACTCTGTGGTCCCCCTTTTTAAATAGGGGGACCGCACCTGCAAATCCAGGGGAACTGCCCCCAATGTCCATGCAATATTGTAGAGTCGCATCAACCAACACAACCCCACAACATCCAGAACTCCAAGGAACTCCGGGTGAATCTTATCCACCCCCGGTGCCTTGCCACCGAGGAGCTTTTTAACCACCTCAATGACCTCGGTACCAGAGATTGGTGAGTCCGACCCAGGGTCCTCAGGCTCTGCTTCCTCATGGGAAGATGTGCTGGTGGAATTGAGGAGGTCTTTGAAGTATTTGTCCTCTGACTCACAATATCCCGAGTTGAGGTCTGCAGCGCACCATCCCCACCATAAACAGTGTTGGTGGTGAACCGCTCCCCACTCCCCTGAGATGCTGGATTGACACCACTCCAGGTATCACTTTCACTGCCCACATGATTGTACCCCAACAGAATAAGGGAGTCCCTATGAGGAGTGCTCTCCAGCACCCCATCCAAGGACAAAAGTCTGGCTACCAGATGCTCGCCAATGTGCCCCACCTCCAGGCCTGGCTCCAGAGTGGGGCCACGGTGACCCGCGTCAAAATCCATAGAGGGTTCTGCAGTCTTCATATTTATTTAGTTATTGTCGCTGTGCTGTTTATAAGTGCTTGTGTAACTGTAGGCGGCCAGTTTGTTCGAATATCTGCTTGGCCTAATCTCCTTCACCTCTCTTCAGCAAGTGTTTAAAGTTCTGCCTTTCCCAAAAGTTTGCACAAGTAACGCCTTTCCTCTGTCAATCAATCCCAGAGCTAATCCAGGGGCAGCATTCTGCTGACCTCAAAATTATTAGCCTGCTGTTCTCACTTCTACCCAGAACCATCGGAGAGGAGGTACAAACTGCATGGCTGAGCGTGGTTCTGTGTGGTTGGAACCTGGAGACACATTTGGCTGACGCCAAACTGATCAGAACTGCAATAGGCATGCCAGTGTAGAAGAGCTGGGACTGGGAGTGTCACCCAATGAYGTAGCTGTAGCTGTATTTACTTCCTGCCACGTAAATACAAAGAAATGTGGGAACTGTCTCTTAAATCAGTCAGCTGGAACAGTGGTTCTAGCTAAGTAGGCAAAAAAAAATTAGGCAAAAGCCCTCAGTGGAGAGTTTTCATGACATGACGTGATGCTGGAGAGCCTCCACAAAGGCCACAAGCACCACATCCTTTGTGCACATTCTGTTGTCTGTCAAGCTTTTGCTCGCCTACTCACAGCTTTTTCACAAGTTGTAAAGTGTACTTCCACGTGTCATTTTGGAGAAATCTACAACAACGTAAACGCCAAGTATGAAACACCTCCACTGTGCACTGTGTGCGCGCTCCTTAGCGCAACTATAATTAACTCAGACTTTAGAATCATATGGATGAGCATGACTCAGCTTTGGGTGGACTGGACTGGCACAGTTCCAATTGGTCTGCCAGCTCCCTCTGGAAAGCTCCTGTGGAACCCAGTTCAATCACTGCTGCAYGTGCACGAGTGGTGCACGGCTCCTCGCTGTGTGTGCCCCCAGAGCGCAGCAGTGCCAAACTGAAAAAAGGATTATTCCTCAAAACGGCTAATGAGCCAGTCTTCATTGTGGATCAGAAAATTCTATCTATTTATAAATAAATGCTCTGCTATTACTGGAGGATATAATAAATAGTGTAAGGCTGAATCCGTTCCTGGTAAATGTATTTTTGGCACAACTTTGCGCATCTTTTATCTAACTGCGTCCATGTGGATGTAATAATTGTTAATCATGTGGATGTAATAACTGTTAATCATGTGGATGTAATAACTGTTAATCATGTGGATGTAATAATTGTTAATCATGTGTGTCTGGTGTGAACAAAAATCATTTTCACATCATGAACAGTTTCTCGGAATCACCTCTGTGTCTCCAATGGAACCAGAACCACAGAAAAGTGCGACACCAGCCCTGGAGTTGGCATGGGGCTGCGCACATTTCCACGTTCATTTCAGTTTTGATACATCCGGAGTTTTGCGTGGAAAATAGTGTACGCAAGGTTTTTGTGTGTACGCACTGTTGATACACGAGGCCCCAGGTCTCCTCAGTCCCTCCAAAACCTCTTTTACAGGTTTACTGTGCTCTATTGTGAATAAAATACAGATTTTTAAGATTTACAAATCGTTGCATTGTTTTTTATTTACATTTGAAACGTCTCAACTTTTTTCTGAAATGCAGTTGTAATTTTAAATCCTGTCATGACAGGTTGGGTGTGATAATCACTTCTTTAAGGATTTCTAGGCCCTTAACTTTTAAAGCTACTGTTTAATTGTAGCTTACAGTGAAACAGTCAGTTCAATGTGCTGTTTGGTCTAAATCAAACTGCTAATACTTACCAGCAAAGTGTTGAAAGAGTCCTTCACAGCCAGCTGTGCTCAATACCAAACTAAAAGTTTGAATTAGACTTGTGACTAATTATTATTTATGATGGAAAACGGGAGAAAATAGCCAAAAAAAGTTTCCAGACCCTAAGGAAATAATTTCTTTTTTTGTTGTTGTTGTTGTTGTTGATTTTTGTTTTCAGTCTGATGAATTTTCTGTTTATTTCCTAACATGAAATTGCTTCGTTCAGCTCTGTTGTCTGCTTTTATCACCAAGATAAAAAAGGACAAATTCCACTGGCTTAGTCAAAAGGAATGACATAACATGAACATCCTAAAACCATAAAAAGGTTTGTTAAACATTTTATAGCCACATAAAGCTTGTAGAGAAAGATACTACAGAATATAAGCAGCTTCTTCTTCTTCTKCTTGCTTGAAGTTATGGAAAAACTGTGATGTGTATAACCACAGCAGTGCCTGGAGACACTAGGACCCATCTGAAGTTCTGGTCATTAAATCGTTAACTCATTTTTGAAGAAAAACTCGTACTTGAACTAGAAGTGGGCTTGAATTCTTTGGAACCAACTTTCCATGCATGCTTAAAGGAGAACTGGAGGGAATCTCAGTTAGTCTCAGTCAAATTCCTTCTGAGGTGAGAAACAAACCGTAAGTTCAGCGCGGGAAAATTAACTCAGATTCAACTACCTTGTCAAAGCAGACCAGGTTAAGCTGGCCACACATGTTGATTCTTTGGGGGCTGATGCAGAAGATGCCGGCCCGCTTCAGGCGCCGCTGAGCATACACGATCCCGGCTGTCATGGCTGCAGGTAAGGCCGGAGGGACAGTGATGGTAACGATGTCCAAAGATTCAATGATGATGGTTCTAACTGGAACCTGGAGACGTGCAGAGAACAGCCATTAAAGCTTTGATGTAGCACTTTAAAGACCGGCGYGTCTCCTGCAGTGATACCTTGCTCATGATGCTGAGGACGATGGTGTAGATGAAGCCGATCGCTGCGACCCCGACCAGACACAGCAGGAACAGGTAAGCATCACGGTACAACTTAAAGTCTGTAGGTTTAGGGTAGAGTATAGAGCGTACGAGCTGGCCTTTCTCTGTACTGAAACCTGTGAAAACATTTCTTTGGTCACGTTTTCCTCTCTACATACTGTACTACAGAACTGCAAATGTAGACGTCTGTGTCTGCCTCACCTGTTCTGACCACAACAGCCTTCACCAGTTCACCTGTGTAGTACCGGGTCTGGATGACATGGGTTCCACAGAACAGTGTGTGTCTCTTGTGTTCCTCCATGTTGTAGAGCTGAGCTGCGTCTTCACCTGCACTGGGCAGACTGGTTTTGGTCACTGGAACACTCTCGCCTAACGATTAAATGAAAATAAATATCCAATTAAAACCCTGTTAATTGCCTAGAGGAGGTGGTAGGGGGAGATAAGGAGAAAAAGGAGTTGGAGGCAAATACATTATCAAGGTACATTATCAGGTCAAAAATTACAAACAGACTGACATGGAAAGGGTTCAACTGGAAAGTCAAGATGAGATAGTTCAGACTGGTGACCATTTAGGAGAGACTGGGGTAAGTTCAGCCACCTCTTATTGCTAGGAAATGTTAAAAATCATTGACCATGTGACCAAATAGTTAGGAGGAAGGCATAATTTCATGGAGTCTATGAAGGTAAAAACCACATGGTTAAAGTGGTTAGAATTAGATTGTTCTTTTTTCATGTACCACTGTATATGAAAAAAGAACAATGAGATAACGTATGTTGTGACTTAGCGCTATATAAATAAACTGAATTGAACTGAATTTTATTTCTAAAAAAACAGAGAAAGTGAATTTAGTCTATCATAACTTTAACAGGAATTGTGTTAGCCCATAATAGATTCTTTTACATTTGTTTTATACACCGATTGTATCTGTGAGGTCAACATGAGGTCATGAACCTAGCATAAAAGTGACCATTTTAGCTGTGGGAACAAAAAAGTGAAAATGTTAGCTTTGGGGTAAGTTGAGCCATTTGGCAAGGGACAACTTTAGAATTTTATATCAAGAAACTATGATTCTGGAACAAAGATTCACTTCTAGTGTTTCTTTCCAAATGTTAGCTTCCCAAGCACTCTTGAAAGCATTCTGTTCTTTTTTGTTGTTTTTAATAAACAGCAGTTTAGCAGTAATTTGTAACAGTAAGAACAGTTGTTGTACCTGTTGAATTGTGTACAACAAATAAAATATGCTTGATGGGGAAAAAGTGACTTTTATGGATATATATTTGTGGATATAGTAAGTGGTGCGGTCGAGTTTTGGTGGAAGGATGGAGTGTGTGTGGAGGGGTAGGGATCGGGCTCAACTTACCCCAAACCTATGCTCAAGGGGTAAGTTGAGCAAAAATTATGGTTGCCTTAATGTAGTGATCCTAAATGTGAAAAATGTGTCATCTTACCCCAGTTTCACTTACATATTTTCTGTGATTTACCAGCTCATACAGGCAAGGGATCCAAGGAGAAATTCAAACTTGCCCCTCTACCCAAAGTACTATAACCTGGGGTCTGAGTTGGGCAGTAACAAAGTAAAYTGACTTGAGTATTGTATTTAAGAACAGTTTCTGAAAATTTGTAAAGCTAGAGTAGATTTTTTTAATTGAAAAATCTTTACTTTTACTCTAACACATTTTGATGATAAAATCATACTTTTCACTCCACTACATTTCTCTAAAGACTTTACATTGTTACTTGTTACTTTTTTGGCTGTTTGTGTAGTTTACATCCATTTTGTTCCACTGACACAATGTATACAGTAGGTGTAGCTTTTAAACCAGTTGCAAGGAGAAGAATACTTTTTGTCCTGCTAGTGTTGCCTTACAGACACACTATGTCTACTACACGTTTCAGCACTACTGCAGGTCTTTGTAACCCTGATTAGTCCTGATTTTAACAAGAACCCATCTCATGTGAGACCTTAGCTAGAATGTTTAAGAATTTTAGTCCTTTTGTTCTTATAATGTATTTCTACCAAATAAACTTTGTTAAATTGTTTTGTACAAAAGTGTTCCTAGTTTACTGTAACAAATATTTTTAATTCAGTGAACTAGTACAAATATTACAAATAACTAAAAATTTCAGTGTGAAATGCTTGACCCAAGATTAGATTTAGAGCTCTTTAATGAGTCACCTAATGCTAGATTCTGTCTTTTCCAAGCATTGCCCTTGAAGTGGTGACTGTGTAGAGACTAAATGAGTCGACAGTTCATAATTAGGTAAAGATTACAATGACACAGAAGGTAGATGCCCTGCAAACAGACTGTTGCCAGTTCATATCCCTGCGCAAGCGCATCCTGTTGTTGTGTCCCCGGGCAAGACACTTAGCCCAACCTCCCAGTGTATAAATCTGTTGATAGAACTGTGGTGGTCTGGAGGGACCGTAGGTGCAGAATGGCAGCAACACTTCCACCACAGAGTGTGACTGAGGAGTGAAGGAATGATGCGGGAAACTTTAAAGCGTCTTTAAGCCTCTAGAAAAGCTCTATATAAAAACAAATGCATTATTATTATTATTATTATTATTATTATTATTATATTATTATATTATTATTTGGAGTTTTTGATCTGTCCAATATAGCAGAAAATTTTCTCAATTATTCTAGACTACACTCAAGTGAATGAGGTGTTAAAAATGTCAACATTGTTAAGTTCTTTCAGTACTTAAGTGTTTTTAAAGAATATTTATTTTCATTTAAGTAATAATTTGACAGAGCTACTTTTACTTTTATTAGAGTAATATTTGACCAGTAGGATCAGTATTCAAGTAAGGAAACTGAGTACTTTGTCCACCACTGCTTGGGGTTGACACCACTGGGTGGATTGGAAAAAAAAAAGTTCAAATACTCCATTTCTGTTTAATAGTGGCAATGAAAATAATAATACATTCTTGGCTCAAAGCATACCTCCCACACTTCTACAATCACATGTATGTGATAAAAAATACTGCAAATCTTAATTTGGAAGTAGACCTGTTTAAGGACTTGTCCTGTCATTGATCACTTTGGTTTGACAACTATTTGCTACTTTATACTTATGCTAATATACTTATTTCTATTCACCTCTTATTTTTGGAAAGTGATACAATAATGTTTTGAATGTTCTGCCTGCATTTTACTGTAATTGCACGTTGAGAGGACAAGAAATTTGTGAATAAACATTGTAAAAAATGTAAACCCTGTTGATCAATATCACACGAAAGGACATAAGCCAAGATTTGATAGATTTCTGATGGATTAGTTTATTTTTCACTTCTTACAGGATTAGATATAAGCTTCTGAGTTTCCTGTATTTGTAGACAGTTTGTCCTGTAGTGGACTGAAGAACTTGTAAGTCTTAGTGCTCGTTTTTCCATGTTTGTYATTAATGCCCTTTTCTATGGTCCCAGAAATGTTGTGATTAATGTAACGCTCACATCAAGTTTTTTAAGGGAAGCTTTGTAAAGTAACAACACTTTGAATGGCTTTATTTATAACCGTCGTTCTCTCATTTTTCCTGGCTTGCAAAACTTCAAGAGCTTAAAAAGCTCCAATAAATAAGTATATTTTTTAGCTTTTCTATCAGTTTGTTCCAGAGCTGAGAGCCCTGCCAGGAGGTGCACTGTGACCTTTTAACAGACCACATTTTCTGTGCAGATGTATGGAACAAACACATTTTCTCTAAGGAAAAAAAAGGTTTTGGAAACAAATTGACTTTGAGTCAACAAAGCAGGTAAAGGGATACAGGAACTGAACAGCCATTAAGACCTTGGCATCCCATACTGCTGCAAAACCTACACAAATTATCTGTGGACACAGTCTTAAGCTGATATATAGAGAGCATTTACTAATTGGTATTTCATAATATATGAGTATGTTTGAACTTGTTTTGTTCTGAGAGGACCTTTGTTGTGAATTAGTGTAATGCTGCCTTCCTACTGAATGTGATTATAGCATCAAAAACACGTCCAACGCTTCAAGTTGGACGCTTGAGCACTTTGAGGTCAGACACGTGTCAAGCGCGTCAAGAGCCGGTCTCTGTTTAATGGTGGATGAAATAAAGAAAGTGGCTTTGCTTTATTTACTGAAAGCATAAGGTCGTGCTCACCAGACAATTAATTCATAATTAATTCACCAGATAATTCAGAGACTTTCTGAGTTTGGTGAGTTTCACCACCCAGGAGCTGTGAGCTAACGAGGCTCACTTGCAGAACTATTTTGTCCCGAGCTCAGTTTGATGAGCCGCTGACCCGCATTGGTGCTGATATCTCCTGCCAGGACACCGACTACAGGCACTCAATTCCAGCTAAAGAGCTCCTGTCCATCTGTCTCAGTTTAGTGGACAACATTCAGGAAACTGTCCCATTGGAAAATCTGTCACTATGTCACACAGTGGAGTCTCTCTGATTGATGCGCTGTGTTGAGATGCAAAAGTTCAGATTTTCCAAATCCAGCGTTCGACGTGCACTCAAAACGCGCAGCGCTGGACGCACCGCAGCACTTCCCGACGCACGTCCACCATGCTCAAAACCCGTTTAGTGTGAACGCAGCATTTGGCAACACTACTAGGACAAAAATTGTTATAATTCTTCTCTGCGCAACCATTTTAAATATCACCACCTCTGTATAGGAGTGTAGTGTGTAATTTTAGTGCTGGTGGAACAAAATAGCCACAAACTACACAAACAGTCAAAAAAACTAACTAGTATCTAAAACAGTTTGAGAAATGAGGTGGAGTAAAAGTAAAACGTTTTCAATAAAATGCTTCTTAAGTAAAGTATAAATTCTCAAAAACTGTACTTAAGTACAGTTACAGTACTCAAGTCAATTTACTTCCTTACTACCAACCTCTGGCTACAACAAAACCCACGACCATTAACCCTAAACTCAACCTCTGACCTTACTCACTAAATTTAACCAGTAACTCAGATCTAAACTTCAAAAATGACCCTAAATCTAAAATCTAATCCGATGTGTCAATAAATTATATAAGGGGAGCCTGACAACGCATCCATACATACATGATGACTGGGGACGGGGAGTGTTGGAATATGAAGCAGAAAAAAACGGATTAAAAAAAAAACCGACATTGTGAAATCTTAGTGAGTCTGGGTCTCAGTTAAAACGCAGCAAAAACATTTTTGTCCATGTCATGCACTGAGGAACAAACCGCACACTCACCTGTCAGCATACTCTCATTCACAACACAGGTTCCCTGGAAGAGGATGGCATCGCAGGGCATTACCATCCCATTAGCTGGGATAGCGATGACATCACCGGGGACGAGCTCCGTTGACATGGCCTGTTCGATTTCTGTGGTGAGTAATGAGAAAAGATACAAACAGTAAGTAAAGCATAAGGGTTTGAATATTTTAGCAAATTAAAGTCTTAAAATGCAGCAACGTGTAATAGAAAAAAACTTGCCTTTGTTTCCTCTGCACACTGAAACTCTAACCACACTGTGTGCTGCCACCATGTCGTGTAGCATCACATATTGCTGAAACGAAAGAGCAGTTATTGACAGAGAAATAGATCTGAAAAGAGTAAAATGTCACCAGATTGAAAAAAAGTCTTCTGGTGACATTATTACACAGAAACGCCATGGGGTGAAATACTAGTGTTCKTTCTGTAATAAAACTAAAAGACAACACAGTTTGATCTCCTCTCAGTGACTCACCTTCCTAATAGTATACAATGAGGTAGCTATTGATATGATGGACATAAAAACAATGGCTGAGGCAAAGTAGTAGTAGTCTTCAACACTCCATAAAATAACACTGAAGAGCTGAAAGATGTAAAAAGGGTTCAAAACCTGGTGGGAAAGAAAACAGTAGGATAAGAGGTGGCATTTTAGAGAAAAAATCTTTATTTCTAGGCTGAACACTCACCTCTTTAATGAGAAGCTTGAACATGGAGGGAACTCGCACGGCTATCTCATTCTCCCCAAAAAACAACCTCCTGAAAGGATTCAGCACAATCTTTAATTTCACAAGACTTTCAGAACTTTAGGCTTCATTGCTATGAAGTTAAAAACAAAAAGGTAGCATGAGATGCTCGTAAATACCTAAAGTCCTGCAGGGTTTTGGAAAGTCCAGAGCTGTGTTCCGAGTGGACGTGTGCACAGTTCAGCTTCAAATCCTCCAGGCCTCTAGAAAAGTAAGATGCTTTCAGTACTACTGCAGTCCTGGACTTCTACCCACAGTTCAGTCCAAAACGTTCACGCTCAGTTTTTTTAAGGCATTTTCAAAGACAGTGCCAGTGAAAAGCCTTCACCCCTCCAGTGTATTGCTTATTATACATCACAGTCAATATAAATCAAAGAAAATTCTAAACGCCCTCCTCAATAACAACTGATTTCTACAGAGAAAAACCAAAAATAGGAATACTGTATACAATAATGGACTGCATCCTTTAAAGCAGGAGTGTCAAACTCMTTTTTACTGAGGATCACATGAGCATTATGGTGGCCCTCAAAGTGTCAGTTGTAATAACTTTGATGTTTCATGTTTAACTTCAACACAAAATGTCATGTTTCTCATCTTACTGCTACACCTGAGCACCACTAACAAATGCTAACTGAGCTCTACCTGGTGTTTCCTGCATAGAAACAGTGTTTTAACACGTCCTCTTTTAAAAACACTGTAAAATACTACAYGTACGACTGAATAAATGTGAAATAAATAATGCAAAAATACTATTAAAAGTAAAAGTAGGAGAGTTTTACTCACTGATGAGTTGTGGTGGGCTGCTGCTGTCTTAAATTCTGAACTCTCCAATTTTCCTACAGGGAGTTCCCATGCATTGATATATATTACTGGATTGGGCGTCATGTGACCTGGGTGTGCTTCACAAGGGGGATTTTATGCATTAAGCTAATGCTAACGCCAACCATTGAAATCAATGAGCAGAACGTAGCGCGGTACAAATAAATGCTTTATAAACATACAAATGGTTCAAATACTTTGCTATAAACTACATAGATTGTTACAACACGTTTACAAGAGCAAAAAAAGGTGATGTTTCACAGGTAAATACTACGCATATTTAACTAAAATTAATTATTTTAATCGTAAAACCAGTGTGCTAACATTAAAAAGCTTCAGTTTTCATGTTTATTCTTATTTAAAATTGATTTTATCTGTTGTCAAATATATTATTTACTGATATTAAAAACATGTAAAATATGGACTTCATTGGATTGCTGACTAATTAGAATGCATAATAATTCAGAAATTATGATGTAGACTCACTAATGACAGACAGTAATGTAATGATTGAGCATCATAAACATAAATACTCATGTTGTCAAACAGGCCAGTTTATTCAGATATTATATTTTTTACATCCAGGATTTGTGTTTTCCAGCTGTGGGTCAGCATCAGATACAGCCTGCATCATGAAGCTGAAGAATAATTTTTTGTTATAAAATTAAAATCATTAAACAAATCTTTGTGACCTGAAATAAGTTGTATTGTTTTAGTTTGTCTTTACTAATGTTAAAATTAATGTAGTTTACAGCAAAAACTTTTGTAGTTAAGTGGACATAAAACTATAAAACAGCATAATTGCATATCATATTGTATTGTGTAATTTGCAATTCTGTAGTTGTTTTATTGAAGAAATATTTGTTAAACACACACAGTAAGAA